CTTTGAGTACAGCTGGTAACAAACACTAGAAGATGACATTGATAAATGGATAGATTGACAGAGATGCCCCAATCTTTCAAAACATGACTGATGAAGAATTTACAGATTTAGTTACAGAAAAAAGCCTGAGGAGTGCAATGAAGCTGATGGTGAAGAAGAGGAGGAGGAGGAAGTGCTAAAGGAAAAAAGTAACATGGAAAAAATTCAACAACATTTTGAAGGCATTCTTGCATTTATGGAAACAAGTAATTGTGTGATTGACACTAAAGACATGATGAGCAAGTACAATTTGTATATAAAGTTTTTGCAAAAAAGTGAAGGGAATGAAACACATTTCAATTTCAGAGTTGCAAAGGCTTCCAAAGAAACTTGCATTGAACTACCTGCACCTAACTCATCATATGTTGACCCAATAAATTAAATTATTGGATTCAGTTACAGTATTGGGTGAATTATTTAAAAAGTTTTTTTAAATAATTGACACATGATGGGTCACATGTCAATATATGACCTATCGTATGTCGACACACTTTTTACATAATTTTTTAGATAATTTTCCTGGCACATTGATTCAGGGAAAGAAACATGATTTCGAAGTAGGACAGCCTACTCAATCTTATAATGAATACATGAGTGAAAAAACAGGGTGGGTGCCTCTACAGTTGATGCAGTGAGCCCAAGAAGAACAGTCCAGCATAGTATGGTCAGATGAATTACATATAGGGTAAAGAAACCTCACTATGGCACTTTGATGCCCCATGGTTGAATTTCCAACACCTATTGCAGAGGTGTGGAGAAGGGGTGTACTGTTGCACATAGCGCCAGCATGTAAACCAGGAGTAAACTGCATCCAAGCATCCACAGAATCTATAAGATGTCTATGCATTTGAAAATCAGGGCAAGAATGGTCAGCAAGGAATACATCAAAGTATTCGGGTCATGTAGCAGGACCAAACAGGTTCCATAGTAGTAGGTGTAGGAAATGTGCGTACAGTACTTGATGGTGGGAACAACGCCTTGGGCCACGCAGGAGGAGGAAAACAAATGGTGCCATAGTAACTACCAAGGAATTGGTCATTCCAGGTGCTGTGGTAAATATCACCTGGAAAACTACAGTTGGCCCCTCTCAAGGAAGAAGCAGGAGGGAGAAGGGAAATTTAGGTAGTCCTAGACAATGCCTGGTCTGGGCTGAAAATAGCCAGACCTATGGAGCCTGATGTTCCAACATGATCCAACTCAGGGAAAAGGAACGGGGGGTGCCCTGGTTACCAACCCCACAGGTCTGAGAAGGGGACACAGAAAAAAAGAGGGTAACACATACAAAAAATAATACTGAAAGACTGTGCAGTCCAGCACCCCACAAACTATGGAGCCCAACAAGGGAAAGCACAAGCACACTGGTAAGTACCCTCTGGCAAAACAAGACCAGTATATGCAGGCAATTAACGAGAGGCTAAACAGCATCCCAGAGACCAATAGGGAAACCAACCCTACAATGCCCACTTGACTGTCTAGCTAGGTGAGGCTAACTAGATAAGCCAATTGGTGGGCCACACTGAGTCTCCTGTTTTTACTCCTGTTCCTTCTCACCAAAACAGCATGTTGCTTCCCCGGGGGCTGCAGTTGCTTAGTAGGCTCAACTCCCAAGTGTAAGAACATCAGGGAAAGTACAGGTCTCCATGTTCAGCTAACACACAGGAGGGGGGGGGGTATTTAGCTTGTGCACCACCACATCATGCAGGAGAGGAGAGCAGGAACCACTACTTACCCGAGGGTGGCGTGCAAGAGCCCCTAACCACATCAAGGCATCACCAACTATGGGGACCCAGAGAGGGTAGGAGACAGCATATTTAGATCACCAATGAGTTTAACACTCCATGGAACAATGGGTATGCCCATTATTCTATGGCCATTTGACCCCAGTCCAAGTAAACCAGGTACCTAGACCAGTTGTTAATTGATTCAACTGGGCTACATTGACTCTTCCAATAAAATCCTACCCAAGACCAAAAGGGTATATTGCCCCAGGAGCCACATCATCCTATGCAAACTCACCTCCCAAATGAAGGGAAATGAACAATTACAGGACTCCGTGTATGGCAATCATATGGGCGACACAAAGTCACAGACAGCATGCAGTCAGGATTCTAAACCAGTAGTCAGTTTAACAAGGTGGATGACCCTACCAGGTTCCCAAGGAACCTACCAAAGGAGGTGAATGTAACTGAACAAAGCACAGAAGCCCCACCACCACACCAGGGTTGCTGCCACAACAACATATTAAGGTGTTATTTCACATAATTATTGTATATTACAGTATACAGTAATATTATATATACTGTGTATCATATGAGAAACTAAATGTATATTGTACATTGGATTCTGATTATTACCTAAGTGTAGTTACAAGATGAGAGCTTGTGGTGTCCAGTTTCCCAGTACTCTGTCATACAACGCTATGAAACTAATGACGGTTTTGACCCTCATCACCTTCTCACTTAGTTTGTTCCAACCGTCTACCACTCTGTTTGCAAAAGAAAATTCTAATATTTTTTCGGCACCTCTGTTTCCTTAGCTTGAATCCGTGTCCTCTTGTTCATGTAGTTGCTGGTTTCAGAAATTCCTCAATTCAATTTAGTTGATTCTTCTTAGTATTTTGTAAGTGGTGATCATATCAAATATTTTTCTTCTATCTTCTAGTATTGGCATGTTTAACGCCTCTAGTCTTTCCTTGTAGCTCTTGTTTTTCAGTTTCGGAAGCCATTTTGTAGCATGCCATTGCACTTTTTCCAGTTTTTTGCGCTTCTTGAGATTTGGGCACCATACAACTGCTGCATATTCCAATTTTGGTCTCACAGAAGTCATGAACAGTTTCTTTAGTATTTCACTATCCATATAATTAAAAGCAAGTCTGAAGTTGGAAAATAATGCATATGCTCCTCTCACAACGTTCTTTGTGTGTTCCTATGGTGACAGCTTAATATCCAAAACCACCTCTAAGTCTCAGTCTTTATTAGAGTTCTGTAATTCCTTTCTACATAATTTGTATGTTGTGTGTAGTTATTTTCTACAATTCAACATTCAATAATGTGGCATTTGTTCACATTGAATTTCATTTGCCACTTGATGTTCCAAGCACTTATTTTATCTAGATCAATTTGAAGGGCATTACAATTGTATGCATTTCCTATCTTCCCCAGTATCTTATCATCATCCACAAACATGCCTATATAATTCTGTATTCTTTCTGGTAGATCGTTTATGTAAACGATGAACATTCCTGGTGCAAGAATGAACCCTGTGGTACTCCACTAGTAACATTCCTCCAGTCAGATACATTGCCTCTGATTACTGCCCTTATCTGTCTGTCAGAATCTTATTTTCATCCATGTCAGAAGTCTCCCTGTCACCCCTCCTGCATATTTCAGTTTCCAGAACAGCTTCATTTGTGTGACTATTAAAAGCCTTTTTTAGGTCCCGATAGACACAGTCAACCCAACCACCTCTTCCCTGTAGTATCTCTGTGGCTCTATCATAAAAACTAAGTAGATTTGTTGCACAAAATCTTCCTGTTCAAAAATCATGCTGTCTGTACATTATGATGTCACTATTATCTAAGTGTTCAACCCATTTGGGTTTGACTATTTTTCTAGAGTTTTGACTACCAAGCTTGTTACAGCCCATCCTTCTGTTTTGGTAGTACTTATAGTAACAATGAGGACCATAGTACTGGCATATATACCGCCGAACAACTAAATTAGAAAGTAGAAATCTGAACTATTGAGTTGTACAAACCGGTAAACCATTTCTTACTTGTGTTGCTTTGACAAACTAAACTAACCTAACCTCCCTAGGCCTAATACACAATATCCGAGGCTAATATAGTACATGTGTGTGGTATATTAGGCCTAGGAATATTAGTTTGTTTTTAGCTCAATTTATTTTACAAGAATTCCTTACTAGTCAGTATATTACTATCTAAAAGCCACGTATGGACGAATTCATGATTATTGACGAAAGTCCCAATAGGTACTACCTTAACAGGAGGATGGGTTGTTTGTTAATGACATGGGTCTATAAATTAGATGTTCCTCTCGACTACTATTTTTATAGATTGGTACTATGTTTGCCTTTTTCCCTATATCTGCCAAGAGTCCTGTGCACAAGCATGTCTGGAATATTAATTGGCGTGAAATGTTATGCTCAGTTGCACATTCTTGCAGCACCCAAAGTGAAACTCCAAGTCCAACCGCTTTATTTCTTCCTGGCCCCATGAGTAACTTTTTCATTTCGTCTTGTGATACCTCTATGTATTCTATGGCATGCTCTGGAAGTGGTACTTGATCCAGCTTTCTGAAATTCTCATTTTGTACAAACACATGTTTTTTATATGAAAACACATGTGCTTTTTAATCTGTTGAGTAAATTGAATTGAAGATAATGGAATCTAATTATACCCGGTATTATTGAAGTTTAATCTTTGGGTATACAGATTAAGGGAGAGTGAACCTCAAAATATTATCAAAAGAAAAAGTATTTAAAGATTCCTGCTGTTACATAGCTCATAGCTATGTAACAAAGTTGCATAATAACTCATTGTTGACCAAACCACACACTAGAAATTGGAGAGACGATGTTTTGGTCTGTCCAGGACCATTATCAAGTCGATAGAGTTCGGTCCAGGACGGACCGAAACGTCGTCTCCTCTTCAATTTCTAGTGTGGGGGATGTGGTCAACATTTTTCAGCCATGTTATTGTGACTCATCATCTGTATAATAGCTCATTGTATTGGATCAGCTAGATGAGCAAGTAATAATGAGAGAGATATGGGTAGGTATAGGTTTCCAGCTGCAAGATGAAAGCAAGGTTAAGGTAGTCTAGTACAAGGAAACACTGAGCAAGGCAAATTATGAAGAATGGACAAATTATATTTTGTCAAGTGAATACTCTGTCTGGAAATCAATTAAATGTTTACACTATTTAGGGCAATTAAATTACCTTTTAGTTAATCCATTTTACTGGGCACAGGTACCATAGTATAACATAGTAAGGGACAACATTTCTACATCACATGGCAGAGGACAGCTGCCAAACAATGAACAAACATACATACAAACAAACCATCACACAACATCCGTCTAGCTACAGTGTTGAGGCACCATCCATACTTGCACAGTGCACCAAGATGGTGCAGTGTGCCAGTGGAGGTGTGGTCACTCTCAGCTTCTTCACATCTTCATGCTCATTTCCAAGGTGTCTAAAGTTTTCTTATAATTTTAAGTTACGTCGGATTAGAACCTTAATGTAACTGTAAACAATGACAATCAAAGAATCAATTACATTTTTAATGATGTAATTTTTATAATGAATTTTGCAGAGGTAACATTAGCTTTATATATCAGCAGTTGCAGTAAAATATTGTCAGTATATTCCACGAGTAATATCCCACTAAAACTCTTTCATGAAACATTCACGACCCTTAATGAAGCATCTTGGAAAATACTCCAGAAACTCAAAGACAGAAAAGCCACTGAAGCTTTCCACTGGATGCCTCACCATGTAACATTTTAACCAAGTTATGAAGAAGCTGAAGAAGGGCCCAGTGTCCAGGCGGTTTGTTTACAACCATTCATAATTCAAAGTCGTCTGTGCCCAAGTTATCCCAAGGAAGCATGTCATTTCATTTCAAGCATAAGCCTACAGACAACATAAGAGGTACTTTAATGATTGTTTGCTGCCTACTGACCCAAGACCCTTAAAAATGACCATTGGTCCAGTGTTAATATATAGGACATTCAAGTCCACCTTATGCTGCTCATGTAATTGGTTCCACCACTCACAAATGGAACTAATGGCTTACTCTTTTATACAAATGCTGTATCATACATCCTAAATGAAAATTGCAATTATTTTTGTAAACAGTTCATTATAAAGATGGTGAGTAAAGAATTGCAAATCAAACCCATTAATATATTCTAATGGACATGGCTACTATCCCAAGATCAAACTTATATATTGTATATATATATATGTATGTATGTGCATAAGTATTACACACATGTATGTATGCAATGCATATTATATATATATATATATATATATATATATATATATATATATATATATATATATATATATATATATATATATATATATATATATATATATATATATATATATATAAAAAAAAAACACACACACATACATACGAGGTAAATAAACCTTATTAAAAATATTTTAAGAATACAGTACAACACAAACATACCATGTGATATTTCCCATTAAAACTTATAAAACATCTAGTAAAATAAATTGTATAGCATCTTAAAAATGTAACTGTAGTGGTTATCTATTGAAACACTCATTCAAACTGTATGTTACAAACCATAAAATTAATATATTCTCTGAATATACACAATTAATAAATATTTTATCCACAAAATCAAAATTATTTATATTTTATATTATTTTCTCCACAAAAAAGCTGTGCAGAGCAATGTAAAGGTGTTACCTAAGATTTGTCAACAGCATTGGGCTCTTATTGGTAGTTAATGTCAACACTTTCTCTGCCTCTTGCTTATTGATATACTGATCCAACAAGCTGTCCCTGTTAATAGGTGGTGATACTGCCCAGACAATTAACTTGGATGACAGTCCGAGGGCTTATGTGCTCGTCTGCACAAGATCATGGAGTAACTGCTTTTGTTTGCAAGACTTCTGAAAACACAGACCCATAACAATGGTCATAAAAAATGTCATCCAGTACATGAATCTTCTATATTGAAATAAATACTGTCAAAAAACAGCAAAAGATAACTACTTTCTTGCATAATAAAGCACAGAAAATGTGATGGCTACCTGGGATTTTTTGCTGTTTCATGAATTTCAAAATTTTAGTTACTTGCCACTAAACTATGAAGCTAATTACAATATACCTCATAGAAGCTGGTGGATAAGGGCTTACCAAGTCCATATAACAATGTGGTCCAAATAGTGGCAAAAATCACTAGTTCACATCACATATTAACACTATTTAGAGATAAACTATCAAGGTACTGCATGACTGTTCACTTATTTAATGTGCAGATCATGTTGTGACTAGATCAGCTATTACGGGCCCTATGTACAGTTGGAATAAAGTTCAGTTATCCTTTTAAAATAATTGGAAACTGGAACTCCTATTTCAATGCATAAGGCACATAATCACAAATCTTGATATTATTACATGTGGAAAATTTTTGGTTATGGATGATGGAAGCAGAGAAGTTTTATTATTGCAATGAAAGACAATTTACTAAGCAGAAAATGAAAATCACTACTTATTCCCTTCTACAAATTATTCTGGTTGCAGTACACCTCAAGTTAGTACAGAGTGGACGTAATATTCCTGAAGTGTCAAATGTAAAGATGTACTGTATGTGCTTTGTAGTATACCTTACACGTTTGAATCTTGGCAACTTTGTTAACAGTGTCTGACTGAAGATTTTCATCATGTCACCATAAGCACTTTCAGGTATAGTTTCCATGAATTCTAATGCTAATCTCACATTGTAAAGAAGAAGACAATCGTAACCTTCAAGAACTAATGTAAGACCAGTCTTTTACACAAAAAATCCACCTCATGATTCTAACTTGCCTACACAACTATATTAAGGTTTTTCTTCCTTTAGCTCTAGTGTTCCACATACTATGTTTAACTTCTACAGAACTCCATTCATCTCATTGGCTATTAGGTCCAGTTTCACAAGGCAACATTACTTAGACTCCAAATGTCATGTATTTATGAAGTGTGGGGTAGTGTAGCTTTGTATTTAACCAATAAGAGGAGGGAGACACTGAGAAAATAAACTGATAATAATGGCTTATGGTTTAATTTCCGACCGATTTCTTTCTGTAAAGACTATTTTCTATAGCTTAAATTATAGAAATTGACTTTACAGAACAACCATCTGAAGTTAAGAGACCATATCCACTTATACACTCATATTTAATCTGTATATAGTTGGAGTGTTTCAAATACCAAATGGAATATGAAAATTGATACAAACTGATAAACAACTTTGTTTTCAATCTTGTAAATATTAATACCTGTATTAGAAAATCTGGGACTGATAACTTTTTTGTATCTTATAAGGAATTTTTGTATTCTTATTGTTTATTGTACAAAATTAATGCATCAATCACACCAACAATGAACTTTCAAGTACAATATTAAGTAAATAATGTGTTTATAACTGATAACCTGACAACCCTCATTTCTTAAGGCTACAATTATTAATTTACATCCTTCTTTATACAAGAGATTTTTCACTTATGAATCTGAGGGGCTCCTCGATTACTGTTATGAAACATGGACAGCCTCTGATTCGTTATGGCTAGTCATATATGTTGCCAATCATTCATTATCCAAATGTAATCCTAGTCCTAAAATTTCTAGATATATGAATACATATATAAACATCGCATATCAGGAATTTAAGCCAATAATTATCGGAGGTCTCCAGAATCTTCATCATCGATCATATTTTGAATTTCTTCTTCCCATTTTTCGTTGTCCTTTCCAGCTCCTCCAACCACCTCGTATTCGCCCAATTCCTCTCCAAGTTCTTCACGAAGCTCCTTCTCCCAGTCCTCCTCTGGCACAACAACAAACAACGTCAACGACATTGGCTCACCAACCCCAACCTTTGGCTCAAATATGGGAGTGACATTTATGAGTTGAAAAATGAATAAATCTTTGCTTCTGCATTTATACACAGTATGGAGGATGGCTAAACACAAGTGGTTCACTTTTCTGTTTACTCCATTCAGTGATCCCTCATTTGTACAAATTCAAATAAGTCTTAAAAAGGTAATAAACGAGCTTTCACTAAGAAGAATCTGAAAATATGTTTACAATTTTCTTGAAACAAATTTTTTTGTATTATTCATTTAGTTTCAGGTATTTTAATATTAATCATATTCAGTACAAATAACTTTGAAAAAATTACAAAATCCTTGAACATGACATAATTACCAACCAATTTGAAATAATCAGTTTCAATATTAAGAGTAGAGTGAAAAGCTTATGAAGCTTTAATTAGCAAGTTAAAGTGCCAATAAAGGACTGATACATTTTACAATGCTTTTAGTAAAAGCACAAACAAAATTTCCAGTTATGAACTCTACCCATTAACTGAGCCAGAAGTGGGGGAAAATGTGGGTCCATACAAAAGCTTGTCAAAACTTAAATTTGGTAAACTGATTAAAATGGAACAGCAAATTGTTACAATTTAAAATGACTAATGTTCAAGTATTTTATGTCTAGAATATTCAGGACTTCAATGATTAGTAATACAATATGTTTGGGAGTATCGTTATGTTCCATTTTGTATCAGTTGCTGTAATGGTATCGAGCTGTGCAATTTAATAACTAATAAGTGAAGTGAAAACTATTGACATCATGTCTGCTTTACAAAAAGTTGAAATTGTGAAGCATAACAGGCAAGAGGAAATTGTCAGTGTCTGACAAGAGTAAGAGTTAATGGTATGTATGTCAGTTATATACCATTTAGATGATACACTGTACAGAAACATCTTTCTTTAATTAAAATTTATGCACTTATTTGCTCCAACTTAAAAAAAATAATGAATTGGGTGGGCTGAGTGGTGCATAAAACATTAACGTTGAACTGCATGTATTATAATGTAACAAAATGACTTTAAAGACAATAATATGTATTCCCAAGAGAGAAAACAGTAACTTCAGTTTTAACATGAATCCGTTTCAAGATTATTGAAGAATTAAATCTGTATAATAACTGTTGCAGAGTTTTAAATAATAATCTTAATTTAACCACTATGATTTTGTTCTAGGAAACAGCCAAACATATAAAAAATGTATTTATTATTTGATGAACTTGATGGCATAAACACAAACACATGAGGTAAACAAGTTGCAAACAAAAACCCAGCAAGACACCAATGACAAAAAGCCAACTCAACCATGCATCAACATTTCATTGAATACACATTTCTACAGACATTTATTAGTTTACTGTACTCTACAGAGCAACATTAAACTTTATGAAATATCTGTAAAATTAGAAACTAAAAATACTTTAATAATTGTTTATTATTTATAACTACTGTAATACACTTACTAATCTAATATCATCCATCCATGCTCACAGTGGAAAAATAATACTATGACAGTATAAATTTAAGAGTTATGGGATAGATGACAGCACCTTATTGGACTATATTAAGTATATCACGGTCATCACAACTTTTATAATCCATTATAATAGCTGGAAAAGATGAATTATATATCAGCATCTATCCCAACATGCTAAACATAACCACTCAAACTATCTCGGTAAAACATCTACATGCTCTTGCGCAAAAAACCAAGAAGTGCCAGTGGGACAAAAGGAGGATCGAGCGAACTGTCTCGACTCTTAGGACCACGGAGGGCTGGCTGAAATGAGACAACAACGACAACACTGTTATCAACCCTACACTTGACCTAAGATCTATGATGAGGTGAGTATCAGCTTTGGCAAGGATGTCAAATTTAATATGTACATGAGGATGGGTCACCTTCAGACAATGAAGGTATGCAAACTGCATGTAAATCATAAAAATATAAATTAAATACTTAATGTAGACAAACAAAAAATGTGTCTTGTTTTCAGACAGAACCAAGATATTTAATATGTGTATTAAAGTGTAAGATGGGCCAAGGCCAGCCTGACATCCTGCAAAATCTGAGCCTCTCCTAGAGCAACATTCACTGCCTACACACTGCAGCACTCACTCATACTGACCCCTTGAGATGGAGCAGCCCTCACCAAAGGAAGTGTTAGAGTTTAACCTACAAACACACAGAAAACACAGTGTTAGTCTACACTAGTTCATTTGAGAGACAATTCAGATATTAGTGGCATGTAGGATGATGTAATGGAACACTTTACACACTGTATACTCTTAAATGCATTAGTGTAGTTTTTCTTGAAGCCTCTACACCAGCATCTTCTTCTGGTCAGTACACACAAATACTCCACTCTTTTAAAACTATATCTTAAAATAAATTTTGCTTATTTCATATTTCATTTTCTGTCTATTAACAAATGAGTGGAAGCTTAAGAATATCATAAAAAGGAAAGAATAGGCAATTAAGTGTACAGAAGATTAGTTTCATATTAGAGAGAGGTCTGTAATGTCATTGCTGAAAATGTAATTTTACAATTTTCTTATGTTTTCTTTTGTCAAAATAATCCACGAAAGCATTTTTAATAGCACTATAAAGTTCAATGAAAATTTTTTAGTGTGTTCATTTATCACCTGGTTTGAAAACATATTGGTGGAAAATTTGTTTATTAAAAAAGAAAGAAAACTACTGATCCATCATGTCTAATTTGTATTTGACTTTACTCACTATTAGTTAATTTGTTGTGTGATTAAGCTCAGTATACTGTACTGTAATATCTCAGTTGACATCTACCTTGACATCTACCAACTGCTCAGTAATGAGATCCTGTACTAATTTAAATATTCAGATCTTGTCAATGAATTTATGTGAATAAACAGGTAGTGTATATCAACACCAAACATGAATATGTGATAACTGAATAATACTAAATTACTATAACAGCCCAGTGAGATTAACACACAGATCATAATGATTACTATCATTATCTGGCTTCACACGTTAATAAGGCTGGGAGGGGGGTCCATCAGCCCCCCTCAAAAGAGGGGAACATTCTATGTATTGCAAGAAAAAGAACTGAAAATTAGAAATTAACACACAAAATGATAAGGATATTGACAGTACTATCCATAAATGTCTTCTAAATTTTCAAATATAAATAAATAAATTACATACATATTTTATTTATATATATATATATATATATATATATATATATATATATATATATATATATATATATATATATATCGTACCTAGTAGCCAGAACGCACTTCTCGGCCTACTATGCAAGGCCCGATTTGCCTAATAAGCCAAGTTTTCCTGAAATATATTTTATCTAATTTTTTCCTTATGAAATGATAAAGCTACCCATTTCATTATGAATGAGGTCAATTTTTTTTTATTGGAGTTAAAAATAACGTAGATATATGACCGAACCTAACCAACCCTACCTTACCTAACCTAACCTATCTTTATAGGTTAGGTAGCCGAAAAAGTTAGGTTAGGTTAGGTTAGGTTAGGTAGGTTAGGTAGTCGAAAAACAATTAATTCATGAAAACTTGGCTTATTAGGCAAATTGGGCCTTGCATAGTAGGCTGAGAAGTGCATTCTGGCTACTAGGTACGCCATATATTTTATATATATATATATATATATATATATATATATATATATATATATATATATATATATATATATATATATATATATATATATATATATATATATATATATATATATATATATATATATATATATATATATATATATATATATATATATATATATATATATATATATATATATATATATATATATATATATATATATATATATATATATATATATATATATATATATATATATATATATATATATATATATATATATATATATGTATGTATGTATTGTACCTAGTAGCCTGAACATCGTACTCGGCCTACTATGCAAGCCCCGATTTGCCTAATAAGCCAAGTTTTCCTGAATTAATATATTTTCTCTAATTTTTTCTTATGAAATGATAAAGCTACCCATTTCATTATGTATGAGGTCAATTTTTTTTATTGGAGTTAAAATTAACGTAGATATATGACCGAACCTATCCAACCCTACCTAACCTAACCTAACCTATCTTTATAGGTTAGGTTAGGTAGTTGAAAAAGTTAGGTTAGGTTAGGTAGTCGAAAAACAATTCATGAAAACTTGGCTTAATAGGAAAATCGGGCCTTGCATAGTAGGCTGAGAAGTGCGTTCTGGCTACTAGGTACGACATGTATGTATGTATATGTGAGAAAGCTGCATAAACGAGCAAGCCATATAACACTAAGAACTCTTTGACCCGGCCAGGATTCGAACCCATGCCGTCCAGGATCACCCCTAAACGTACACAGTACTGTGACCACCGCACCAATGATCGTCTCATTGGTGTGGTGGTCCCATGCCGTCCAGGATCACCCCTAAACATACACAGTACCGTGACCACCGCACCAATAGACGATCATTGGCGCGGTGGTCACGGTACTGTGTACATTTAGGGGTGATCCTGGACGGCATGGGGTCGAATCCTGGCCGGGTCAAAGAGTTCTTAGTGATATTATTATAATATATATATATATATATCTATATATATATATAAGGGTAGATATATATATATATATATATATATATATATATATATATATATATATATATATATATATATATATAATATATATATATATATATATATACACACAGTATATATATATATATATATATATAATATATATATATTAAATATTTATTTATTTATATTTGGTGCATCTGGTGTAGGGTGCTACTGGTATGTTAGTAAGTCTAGAAGAATGCTCAGTGAACCCAAGTGTGGCAATGAAGGCTCAACATAAATGGCATCAGCTTCCACAGTAAGGCATTAGTAGTAGGCATCCATCAGCCTCAGGAGAC